GGCAAGGTGATTGCCTGAATCCTGCTCAACCGTCTCGTCAGTCTTGTTTATCTCATTTTAACGTGTTCCTGAATATTCCTCTATTTTCTTGCACCCGTCGCTTAAGTTCGCTTCCTTTTTTCCCCCTGTGGCATTTTCGTTAGTGTGTGTTTTCTAACGTCTTGCACGTATCGTGGATTTGTTTATTATCATTTTATTACAAATACTTGTTTAGTGTTGATTTATGTCAGCATTTCTGTTCGCATTATTCAATATATGTTTGTTCTTCTCATTTCAAATGATTGGCGTATGGTATTTTATTAAATAAATACATTGCTTTACTTCTCGGCTAAGCGGGGCATGGCTGCGCAGGCCTGATCATGGTTAGAGTGCAGCAGTTGATCAGGCAATGTCATGGGCGTGTCATATATGTTGATACATGAATGTATTTATGTGTGTGTTTAGGCGTGTGTAGCTGAGTTGCTTGGCTTCGTAAAGGTTTTGCTTCTTTTGCTTGTATCTGAACTTGTCAGCAATGCTAAAGAGATGTTTGTGGTCCGTGGATTTGCAATGATTGCACAGATGAACATTTCGTTGATGGTGTACACCTCTTCGCCATTATGAAGCATAAGGCAGTGACTTTATTTAGTGGCTAGTCACATCCGCCACTTCACAGTATTGTTAAACGGACATTTGTGGCTTTTTATAGGGGAAACTCTTGCGAAGCGAGAACCTACCACGTCCATACTGACTCCAGGAGATAGTTGGTCGTTGCTGGAGGAGACAGGGTGCACGGTTGTTCTGGCCGTGCTAGACTTGAAGTGTGGTTCCATGCACTCAGTGTGGAGTTGACTGCGGTTCAGCCATCGCTTTGTGTGCGATTGATTCCCAAATACAGCGTGCTTGTGTTTGCCTGTGAAGGGGTGTGGGCCGGCTCCGTTGATGAAACGTGGTTCCCATCCACATGCCTCCCGGTCTTAATCATTTGGGTTTACACTGGGTATGGGGGTATGTTGTTGGAGGTGTAGGTGGTGCAGCGCAAGCCATCCATGGTCCCTCTGTAGGCGCAGTCGTCCTGTGGCTATCATGTGGAAGCCACAGTGACAGGAAAATCCGGAACTGCATGCCGCGAACCATGTATATAGTAGTTACCCAATGAATATTTGACAGAGGGCCACAACACATGAGACACCACAGAAGAGAGGAAATCAGATAGTCTGGGGGAAAGATTGTGAAGGTCCATGTGTTGCGTGCGCCGTGAGGTTTCTGGTTGCCCAGGCCGACGAAGAAGGTCGATTTAAGTGACCCTACCCCGAGCCTTTGGTTTTAAAGACCTGACCCACCAATGGTCGAAGCTTTTCAGATTCTGAGTATCTTCGGATCGCAACAGCCATGTTTCGCAACCCTAGAGTAAAATGGCTCGAATGGTTTCTGAGAATACTCCGATTTTGTTTCTTAGACCAATTTCCGTCCTTCGCCACAACGTGTTTCTCAGTTGTAAGAGGGCTGCACTGGCGCTGTCTATACGATTTCGGACTTCGCATCTAGCCTGACCGTTGGACAGGATAGTGGATCCAAAGTATTTGAATCCAGGAAAAGTCAATTTGTTGTCCATGTAAGCAAGGGTACGCGGCGGACTGGGTGGCTGACGATGTGAAGTGCTTCGTCTTGCTGATGTTGATTTCGAGGTTGATCATAGAGGCTGATTGATCGATTTGATTTGGCAGTAACTGTAGTGACAGCGATTTCATCAGCTACTTGTAAGTTTGACAGCCAGAATTCAGGGCTGTCTTGAGCTCCGCGACAGCTCTTATGTGCATGATGCATAACGCTGTCGACTGCGAAAGTTGCTAGTGCTGAGGAAGGTGGGTAGCTCTGCCGTACTCTAGTATTGATGTCGAATTACTTTGTCCTCTCCATGGACCCCGAATCCGGGCCTTCGTTCAACGGTACTATAATTTCGTCAAGTTTGCGAGTTTAATCGACACGCCATCGGCCAGTAAGTTCTCCTGTGTGCTTCACGGTCAGCTGAGTCAAAGGCATCTCGAAAATCAACGAAGCAGTTAAACATAAGCTGCTGGAACTGCTAGCGGTGTTCTTGTACCCGATTTAGAGTGAAGGTTTAGTCAGTACAGCCTCAACCTGGAGGAAACTCCCTTTCATTATGGCGACTTCGCAGTTTCTTCTCATTGGTAAAACTGGAAACCATGATTCGTGCTAAGCTTTTGGCAATCACATCAATTTGCCTAATTCCGCGATAATCACTGCACATAGTTCGTTCACCTTTGGAAATGGCAGTAATATTGAGACACCCCACGAGGAACGACAGACTTCGGTCTCCCATATCGAGCAAAAGGGATTGTGCAAATGACCAAGGTAGACAATACGTGTAGATTTCGGCTGGAATCCCTTTCCGCCTCAAAAGATTTCTTCGGCTTCAGGTGACGTACGTTGTCTGCAGCTTCTTTGGGAGATATTCGTGAGCAATCCGTTTCATGTCCTGATCAGCCTAATGCTAAAATGGGTACGCTTGTGTGCAATGGGTGGTTTAGGAGGTTGCTAAAATACCCCATCCATCTAGAAAGTTTTCCTACCGTATGAGGGATAATTTGGCTATCCGAATTACGCAATATCGGCTGTGGTGAATAGCCTTTATCAGAAGCTAAACGGATGAGACGAAAATGACCTAAACTGCTAGAATTTCATGAAGTTTCCATGTTGTTGCGGTCATTTCGTCTCAAGTGACGGTAATCTTGGAAATCTGTGGGGCCTACTTCTTTCTATCTCAGCGGACACGGGGATAGTATCTCTAGTGATCCAGTCCTTCACAGGCTTAGAGGTAGAGCTCAAGGTAGATAAAGCGGCACGTTCAACTGACGATTTTAGCCTAGACCAACGAGCGTCGACAGACTCATCACCTACAATAAGACGCGTGGTGCTCTGGTAGAAATCTCTGCTTCATGGGATCGGCGACAGTCCGTATTTTCCAATGGGGCAGTGTTGGAGCAACGGTAGCGCACATTTGCATTTAGTTTCCTCGTATTATTGACTGTTTTTCTATTTCTTTTACCTCCACAAGCATGCTTACTGTGGATTACCTGTTTAAAAACATAAACTAAAGCACTGTGTTCTGCTTTTTTCTGACTGCTGTTTGTCCCACTGCCGATTGGACTCATGTTGCGGTCACGGATGCTTCCCTCGCGACGTAAGTGCGCTGCTAAGTAGTATTGCTCACGCAGATGTAGCTTAAGCAACAGAAGATATAAAGACCCAACTGGGTTCTTTTGACTCTATACAAGCTCGTTTGGGTGAAACGTTTGGACTTAGCCCGAGACACAATTTTACTGTCACGCATTTATTGTAATCATGCACCAAGTGCCAGTTTTTTCTAACCATCGCTACTTTCAGGCACAACGAACACCTGTGTGCCACTTTGTGTCCTCTGGTGACTGGGTAGCGATGAACGTAAATTGGCTATGTCTATGTAGATTTCCTTTTGCAGCCTCGTTTCGGAATACGGGCGTCGACCTTGGTCATGTTATCCACCGTCGATTTCGCCTAACCCTCTCTTGGGATGTGCACCAGACGCATCTCACACATAGCAACAGAGAAGTTGCTGAAGCGCGCTAGGTGGTAAGCCTACCAGGACACTTTGCGCGCAGATGCTGTCATATTTATCTGACGACATTTGATTTCAGTGGAATAATATTTCCCCTGCAATGCGTTGCTGATCTCGGGGCTTCTGAGTACAGCCTGCCTATCGTCTCACTGCACACAGGATGTCCGAGCGTAATGCTACTGGATGAGCAATCAAGCCTTTGTTTGAACGGAATTTGCTCGAAAATCCGTTGGACTCAGGGGCCTTGGAATCTAGAATTGCTGAAGCGGTGGTTAACTCCTGCACGCTCCTCAGACTGATCTGCACTACTGTCTTCAGTGAGAGACTGGATTACACAATCGGCACTCTGCTTCACAATTTGGAATGCCTGGCGGCTCAGCTTGATTGTGCAGAACCGAGCTATGAGCGTTTTCTTGCTGGTAGACCTTTATCGTAGGGACAGTTGACATCAAGTGGTACGAGGCAAGGAGTGAACACGGCTTATGAATTGCTGCCGACGATTCACCCTACACTTTTTATTCTGAATTAGTTTCGTCCAAAGGTTCTTATTTCTAACCTTGCATTCGTTTCCTCCCTCTGAAGGTGGATCATTTTTGATCAATAATTCAGTCGCAGGTTTTTTAATGCTTATTGTGGCCAGCTGCCCTCACCTATTGTTGGTTCACGGTAATCATGGAGCACTTTTATTGCGCTCTCAGTCACCACCCAAAGTGACTATTAGGAGAGGCGATTCTTATTCACTGGGGCCGCTTAGTGTCGCACAAGTTTTCGCTGTAGCGCATACTCTGTAGAGCGCATTTCGCAATCCTGCTCAAATGGTCATTGAGTCATGCTAGTTAACTAGACTCCTTAGTTTCTTCCCAACTCTCGTCTAACAGACTCCGGGATTTGACTTTATACCGTTGTGTGCTAAATTACTCTGATTCTCCAGCTACCGTATGTAAGCTCGTATATTGATTGTGTTGAGGTCTTGATAAGCACCCAGTTGCTCTTTTGTTCACCGAGCAACTGAATCGGCAACCCGAGCTACCGGTGTTCCAAAACATATTAAGTACCCATTGAGATGGATGTCAATGCGGCTTGTAGCCTAAAGATAACTAGCTCCTCTTGTAATCTGACGGTGCGGATTCGAGCCTGCGTAGAAGCAAGGCGACCCTCGCAGTATCCTTAGCGCACGTGCGACCGGTGGTGGTTGCGCAGCAGCGAAGCGTCAGTACTGCGTACCGGCGTGCTGCTGATGCCTAGATAGATGTTAGTATCATCACATGTTTCCTCATGGCTTCTAGATTCATGTTGAGCCTCGTCGCCTTCTAGATATTGTCGATTCTACAAAGCCACTCTGCAATCAGACCTTGATCTGGTGCAGCATCTTCCAGAGGTTCAAACTTTGCGATGGTACGTTATGGACGAATTTGGATCCCGTATCAACCACTCTGACACTCCGAATAGTAAGTTCTTAACCCAGTCACCTTTTGAACATCTGAACCCTCGATCTTCTATGTAATACATTCCGACTAGGTTGTTTTTATTAGACTAGATATTTTATTCTACTGTTCTCTCTGAGTCTGCTAACTTTGTATATTTGCTTTCTCTATGCGAACCAAATAACTGCTCCCACTATTTCGCCTTCTTCGTTGCTGCCTCGTCTTGAATTAGCGCTTTCCTGTTGGCTTCTGTTAACGTTTCAGGTCGGATCGTCCCGTTCTTCTACGTCCCCAGGGGACTGTGTTATTCGTTACTGTGGCCGCTTCAGCAAATTCCTAACGGTGGTACGCTCTTCTTTTGAAGTACTTATGTACTCTACCTTCAGATGAAGTCACCGTTGATTATATAGAGCACATCCAGGATGAAAAGCTTCGTCCACTTCACTTACTACCTTGGCAACCTCTGGAACTTTACGATTCACCAATTGAACACACATATGTTCTATCGGAAGAGTTCTTTACAGTATGTATTATGTGGTATGTGCTCTGTTTTGTGTATAGCTCCTATTTACATCAGACTAACCGCTAGTTGCGCATATGTGTTGGCACTGTCAACTGATTATATATATATATATATATATATATATATATATATTGTGTGGAACCAATCTTTGAGCCTAACATGGTCACAAGGACGGTGCACCCTCTGCCCTCCAACAATGACCAGCTGTCTCCTGGAGGCAGCATAATTTAGGTGAAGAGTAATAGACAGGTAGGTACTTTAACAACATGCACATCAAACGCAGTCACATCGGGGATGTCAAACAACGGTCAATCACGTGAAGTGATAACTGACCCGAACGGAATCCACATTGGTCTTCCGCCACATTCGGTTCTACAATCTGACTGACGGGGCGGTTGAGCAGGATTCGGGCAATCACCTTGCCTATACAACTTAGCAAGTTGATACTACGCTAATTCGTGGCATCTTGCTTATTTGCTTTTCCCTTGTACAGTGGTAGCACAAGCGTATCCCTCAGCTCTGGAGGCACCTCCTCTTCAATTCACGCGCGTTATTTTAAGTGCTGCGGCGGAGTCACCAGTGCGCGTTCACCGTGTTTCAATACTTCTGGCGGGATCTCGTCGGCACCGGCACACTTGCCCTTTCCCAGCTGAGCAAGTACTTTCTTCGTCTCATCCAATCTCGGCGTGTCCGCCAGACTCATTTTCACCTTGTGCTACTTCAGACCTTTCCATGTAGGCCAGTCACTCGCCGAACGGTTGTTCAAGAGACGGTCGAAGGGATTTCGCCAGATCTGCATTATGTCGACAGTCTGTGTGCAGGCATCACCTGAACTACCATCGAGTGTCTTCTTCAGCGGCTCCAACCTCGGTTCATACACCGTCTTCAAGGAGTCAGTGAATTCCTTATGTTGGCTACCTTCGCCATAGCATTCCATCCGCTTCGCATTCTCCGACCACCATGCATTTTCAATGCGACGGAGCTCTTGGGTCAGTCTTCGTCGGATTCTGCGAAACTTTTCTTTCCCAAGGCACTGGGGTCTGCCACATGTGCAGCAAACGTCGCATTCTTCTCCGACACCAATGCGCCAGTCGTCGCATTGTTCTCATCAAGCCAATCGGGCCGCTTGCAGTTTGCGCGCCCGATGCTGTTCTCGGCAGCATCTGTCAGCTGGTGGCGAATGGGGTGCCACAGGTCGCCCACTGTGGCTATGCATTCCACATCACACAGGCGTGCAGCCATCGCCTTCTCCAGCTCAGTACGTTTCGCCACAGTACCGAGGGAGAGGATGTAAAACTTACGCCGATTCACGGCGGGAGTGCAATACATAGATTTACGAAAAGATATGTACAGTTTGATCCGCACCGATTTGTGATCACTCAGCTCCACGCATTGCACGTGTCATGCGCACTTCACGCATGTCACGCTGACGTACGATGACATAGTCGAGCAGGTGAGCGTGACCACTCCGTGGGTGCGTCCAAGTTGCTATATCACTCGCACTCAGTGCAAACCGAGTGTTCGTGATCGTCAGGCCGTGAGTGGCACACAGTGAGAGCAGCCTGTCACCGTTCGCATTCGCTGAACCAATGCCATGCGGGCGGATAACATCTGTCCACGCTGATGCATCACGCCCAACGCGCGCGTTGAAATCACCCAGCAGAAATAGTCGGTCGCTCTTCGGCACAGACCGTATCACAGAAGATAGCTCAGTGTAGAACTGATCACGCGTGTCATCAGGATAACACATGGTCGGACCGTACGTGCTTATAGAAGTGGCAAACTTACCTCTTCCGAGTCGTAGGCGAACAGTCATCAGTCACGCTCTGATGCCTGTTGGTTCACCCACAAGCTGGCTATTGAGGCCATCGGATATTGTGAATCTGACCCCATGTTCACGTGGTACTGAGGTGGCGTAGCCAGCACTATCTTCATGCAATTTACCTCGCTCAGCTAGCCGGGTCTCACTGTGTGCTGCAATATTGATGTAGCGCGCCAGTTCCATCGTGACTAATGCAGTGCGTCGATCGAGGCGCTCTCTCGTATTTCGGTCCAGTAGTGTGCGCACGTTCCAGCACCCGATGCTGAGTGCTTTGCGCGCAGGCATACGATTGCATTGATGGGCAATCGGGCTCGGAGTGGTCATTGTGCTTCGGATGTTTGCTTAAGGGACCGCGTCCGGAGTCTTTTTCTCAAAAGCCTGACCGACATTGCAGTAGGTGCTATGGAGGTTACCTTGAAAGACTGCACCCGGAGCGTTTGGCTCAGTATTCTGACTCACGAGGCAGTGGGTAGTTTGTACGTTAGCTTGAAGGACTCCGCCCGAAGTCTTTGACTCAATGCCTTACCTACAAGGCAGTGGGGAGCAGATCCAGTTCGGGAGTGTGATTGCAGATACAGATTAGGATATACTTGATATCCGTCACACACAACGTTCGAAGACCTAGAACAATTTCTGTGTGATTTTTGACGGTGGTAAGGTGCGCACCTGCGACCACGGCCAGACGCAGGTGGGTTTTTGGCGGGTCTGCACCAATTTGACGAGGGGCTGCCTGGCTTGAGGCGGGCAGTAGCAAACCATTGAACACCCGGAGGTGCCCTCCCACCGTCAGAGACAATGCGTGGCGCTCGTGCTTTACGCCAGTCGAGCTGTGACCTTATCACCCGTGGACGTGTTGTCTACCATGACTAGGTTTTAAGGCGTTATAGCCATCGACCACTTCCTAACCTCCGGAGAGGATGGACTAGGATACTTGCAGAGCGCCCACTCCTGACAAGAGAACATCTCGGGTCCTCAGCCAAACCCTTCGATAAAATCTTTACCCGAATGGCAACTATCCGTATGTTTCTGTTTGCTGACGACTGTGCGTTGTTTGCACTCATTGCGGATGAGTTGCAGCACATGACTAGTACTCTGGCTTCGACAGCGGCCAAATTCATGCTCACCATCAACACAAGTAAAACTGTCTGTCTCTTTCAGCCTTCATCAGAGGTGCACTTTACAACGGAACCGCGAATCAACTTCGGTGCTGAAATATTGGGAACCACCTCCCGCTTCTGCTACTTTGGGAGTGTGATGTCGACTGATCAGCAGCTACACATTGAGCTGCGTATCCACGTGTCGAAGGCAACGGCGGCATTCGGGAAGCTAGAGTACCGAGTGTGGAACAACCATCAGCTTAGCATTGGCACAAAGCTGATGGTGTACAAATCCATGGTGCTGTCCGTTCTTGTGTGTGGCAGCGAAATGTGGACGATGTACTGGCGTGATATGTGGTATCTCGAGCTGTTTAATCAACAGTGTTTGTGATGGATTCTGCACAACATTTGGTGCGACAGTTGGAGACACGGAAGTGTTGCGTCGAAGTGGAATGTATGCAGTGGACTGCATACTTTTGCTCAGCTACCTGAGGTGGCTCGGTTATGTGTGGCGTATGGATTCGACACGGATACCGAAGCAGCTGTTATATGGTCAGCTGAGTATTGGGAAGCGGCATGTGAGGAAACCGAAGCTTCGTTACCTGGACATGATTACGTTCCATTGTTGATTACAGATGTTGGGAATCAGAGGTGGTTGATCGGCGTGTCTTGTGCGATCTGATCACGAGGGTCATTGCCGAGGTGCACGAGAAAGCCCTCATGCATGCGGAAAAGGAGCGGCGATTGCGGAAGAGACAGGCGCGGATGGGTTGTACTCCATCGACATCGAGCGGATGGTGCTGTAGCACATGCCGTCTAGAGTGCATGAGTCAGCTAGGCCTAGTGAGCCATGAGCGAGGCCACTCGTGGCCAACACCGAAACAACGACGAGTCCTGCTGAGAACGTAGGTAGAACTGGCGCAGCGTTTGTAGGTACGCTGTAGTCGATGTACTAGTGCGTCCTTGCATGCTGAGTCCCTTTGCTTCAGGTGGTTTGCTATATTGTCCTGATGCTTTTTTATCTCATGTTTATATCTACCTGAACTATCTTCTTTGGACTTGAATACGTTGCTTAAGCTAATTGTAGTTAACGTTGATAACATTTTCGCGTTTGTGACTCTTTTTTACAATATGTTTTATGACATCTTGAACCTTTCGCGGATTTGTTCGTAACAGTTTATTTCATATGCTCATTTATTGCCGATTTATGTCACTGTATCTGAATGCATTATTCGGTTTATTCTATTTTATATTGTCGTTCAACTGATTGGCTGTTGCTTAATATCCCCTTTGTGGCTGCGCTTGATGTGCTTGTTGACGAGGTGCCTACCTGTCTATTACCCACCACCTCGTCCATCTGGTTCCAGGAGACAGTTGGTCGTTGCTGAAGGGGACGAGGTGTACTGTCCTTCTGGCCGTGCTAGTCTCGAAGAGTGGTTCCATGCAGTCAGTGTGGATCGGACTACGGTCAAGCCATTGCTTTGTGCGATTGATTCTCAAATATGGCGTGCTTGTGTTTGCCTGTGAAGGAGTGTGGGTCGGCTCCATTGAGGAAACCTGGCTCTCATCCACATGCCACCCGATCTTATTGCTTCGGGTTTACGCTGTGTATGGGTGTGTGTAGATGGGGTTGTGTATGGTGCAGTGCAAGCCACACATGCTCCCTCGGTTGGCGCAATCGCCCTGGCCACGGTGACAGGCAAATCCGAAACCGGATGCCGCCAACCTTGCATATGTTGATATCTAATTGCACGTATGTGTGCATGTAGGCGTGTGTCGATGTGTTTATGGGATTTGTATATGCTTTCTGCACTTTTCCTTGTGTTTGATCATGTCGCTGGTGCTGAAGGGATGCTTGTTGTCTTTGAGTAAAGGCGTTGTCCGGTTGAGCTTGTGGGTGACATTATTTGGTGCCGGGTCACAACTGCCTCATCGGAGTGTTGTTGAACAGATATTTGTGGGTTTTTGTAGGGAGAACGTTTGTCAGGCGAAAATCCTCCACCTCCTGAAACACCGCACCCGGACTATTCGCTGGAACAGGATTAACCTGAACCACTGAGCTGGCACCAAGTGGAGGTTATTCGGCTTGCCAGAGAGGTGACCTGCCCGAAGCTCAATGCTCTGAGACGCTGTAGCTGGTTGCGACT